TATCTATAGAGTGAGAAAGGTCCCCAGGAATGTCATTGTCCAGAATCATATCAGCTTTGCTTTTCCTTGTTTTTTATTATAGATCCCAAGAGCTTGTATGGAACATTACCAAAGCACAGCATATATGGTACATTTCCAACATTCTTCATTGATTTCCTGCCTAATTCCATTTTCCTACTTGAATCCAATATGCTATGAGAATAATTTGGTGCCACTAAGTTTTTTGCCTGAGGCTTTGTGCAGGTAATAGCTTCCTTCCTTTAATCCATTTGTATCGGGTTCATGCTGCTTCTTCACTTGAAATTACTCCCAAATTATTCTGCTGGAAGTTTCTAACCTCTCTGTAGTTTGTCACCCAGACCTTCCCAAATATTTAGGGACACTTATTTTCTCATTCAGTGCTTAATGAGCATTGATTATGTATATACCACTGAGCTATGTTGTTAAGTGCCATCACACTGGTACTGGCTCATGGTGATCCTATATAGGGTTTCAGAGTTGCAGCTGGTGAGCTTGAACTGCTGACCTTGCAGTTCAAAGCAACCTTGCAGTCGAGTGCATTAAGCCACACACACCAAGACTCCCAAAGAGTAAACATTAAGAATGTGGAAGTGGTGGGATCCAAACCAAATGACTGACATGTGTTTGTGGAGTCAATTGTGACTCACAGCAACCCTATTGGGTAGAGGAGACCTGCTGCATACCGTTCCCCAGGCTGTAATCTTCACAAGAGCAATCACCAAGTCTTTTCTCCCACTGAGCAACTTGAGTTTGAACCACCTTTTGGTTAGCAGCCAAGTGCTTTAACCATTGCACCACTGGGGCTCCTTAAGACCTGCTGTTCTTACTGTTGTTAAGCGCCATTGAGTCAGTTCTGACCCATACAGCCCGGTATGCACCGAGGAGCAGTTTGCACCACCAACCTTGGGGTTCAAAGTGACTTTGCAGTCCAGCGCATAGCCCACTTACTATTATTATTCTGTTACCTCAAGGATCTTACAGTCTTTGTTAGGAGCAGTCAGGTAAACAGGGAAGTACATGCTAGTATGTTGTTAGGTATCATCAAGTTGGTTCTAAACCATAGCAACACTGTATAGGGTTTCCAGGAAGCAGCTGGGGGGGAGGGGGGGGTTAAACTGCCTACATTTTAGTGAGCAGTCCATTGCTTATCCTTTAGCACCACCCCAGTATATTAGGAGACAATATTATGAAAATGAAGAGAACCCAAATGAAACCAAACTGATGTCAAATCAAGTAGCAACCTTATAGGATAGATTATGAACTCCAAGGTTAAATCTTTACAGCTGTAGACTACCCCATCTTTGTCCAACAGTGGCTTGTGGGGATGAACCGCAGACCTTTCTGTTAGTAACTGAGAGTTTAACCACGATGCCATGAGGGATCCAGAAATGAAGAGAAGGGAAGACTAATTCAGCCCTGATTATCTGAGTTTTATCTGAGTATTTGCATAGGGTTATAGGAGCTTTCTTGTCTAGGGACTAGCTTTTGCAAATGTGCAGGGTGCAGCACAGGTGTACCATGGGTGTCCCAAAAACGAGGAGCGGTTCCTATTGGCTGCAGCACAGCACAGGGGCAGTGTGGGAAAGTTAATGACAAGGACAAGAGTAGCCTGGTAAAAGCTAGGACTAAAATGAAGGTTAACTGGGCAGTCAAAGGATGTCTGTGATCATGAAACATTAGATAAAGAAAACCCAACAAATTCAACAGAAGGAAAACAGTGCCATGATATGCCAACACCAGAAGTGACTAACACACCAACTTTAGACTGAAAACTGGTAATTAAAGAAAGACACATTTACAGTTTAATATAGGAACTATAGTTGATCTACACATAGTAAGGGAAAGATCTTCCTTATAATAAAATAGCAGATATACAGGCTTTTATGTTTCTTTCATGCATGTAAGCATACAAGCATCTATACTATTTAAGAATACAGAAATAATCACACTATTATTGCCAGGATTTCAAATAATCAAGACCACCAATTACTGATTACTGCTGGGAAATTATTTTCACAGAATATAGCAATAATTTCCAAATGATACTTCCAAAGGGGAATTGTACTAGAAGAAACTAGGACAAGTTGTTAAGTCCTAGCAGTCACAGAAATCTCCACATTACACTTAAAAAAAAAAAAAAATGGATATTCTGGTGACACGTCTCAATGAAGCACCTTATTATCAGAGATTCTTTGAGGAGTTTCAGAACACAAGAGTCTGTCTTTCTCTCCTTTTGCGGATGCAGGGGCAGGGAGCAGCTTCTTCTTGTTCTGAGACTGATAGTTCTGAAGACTTTTCAGGCCCATCTCGGAACTTCATGCCATCACATTAGAAACTCAAAGCAGATCTGATGTGGGGATAATAGTGCATTCCACCACTATCATCCCAGACAGAGCCCTTCTCCAGAGCAGTCACAGTGGGATTGTTTGGTAGTGTCTTTAACTTTTGATAGCCAATTCAGTGAAGAGAGGTTTCATTCTACCAATGACACTAGGTTGATCATACTTGATTATTGATGCAGCTGGGTGATGAGCATACTTTTGTGCATGTCTGAAAATGTCCATAATAAAGAGCCAAAAGTTTGAAAAAAATTAAATTTTTAAAAAAGCAAATAGGTACAGCTCTATTTTCTCATTAGGCAGAAATGGGGACGTGGTAAGATTTTTACTTGGAGGTGAAATAAGCAGCATCTTAGAGCATTCATCTTCTGCAGACACAAGGTCGTGCCTAGAATGAGAGAAAGCATTTAAAAGAATGCTTTTGGGATTGCTTCTGTGATTTACTAAATCCTCTGGTAATGAGAGACCAGCAAAACTTCAGGCACATCCTCATCTAGGTACCCTATTTCACCCCATTGTCGAGGTGATTCTGACTCACAGGGACACTACAGCCCTATAGTGTTTCCAAGGCTGAAAATCCTCATGAAACAGACTGCTGCATCTTTCTCCTGTGGCACTGCTGATGGGATTGAACTGCAGACTTTTGGGTCTGCACTTAACCACCTTGCCACTTATTTTGTTGTTATTGTTGCTAAGCGCTATCAAGTCAGTTCCAACTCACAGCGAGCCTGTATAGGGTTTCTGAGGAGTAACTGGTAAGCTTGAACAATTGACCTATTTTAGGTGTCTTTGAATTCTCCCATCCCAACTCTGGGAAGGCTCCCCCCACGACCCCCAATTCTCTCCATCACTGTGAGAAAGGCCTGCCCTCTCAGAAGTCTCTCAAACCACTTTTTTCCCTTTCCCAGCACACTCCTATCCACTTATTCATGCGGCTGTTTTGCTCCCATTCCCCTGCCTAGCATACCCTCTTCACAATTCAAAGCCAAGGCCTCCTTGCCTTTGAGGAACTTAGAATGAGATCTTCCAAATGAAAAGGCAAGTTGGGGACAGGCAGGTGTAGAAACAAATCCTGCCTCCCCACCCTCAGGGATGAGAGGGAGAGAGGGCAGTCACACCTGTCACACCCAGGAGAAATGAGCCTAAAAAGCCAGAAGATTCTACCCACTCCCCTCCCCAGGCCCCAGAGGGAGACTTGGCACATCCATACTGAGAGTAAAGCCTGCTCCTGGTGGGTATACAGGAGAAGAGGGTAAAGGACTGCTGAGAGTGGAGAAGCTGGGGGCTGGAGGTCCAGCTGGCCAGAGGCTACCACTGAGGAAGAAGCAGTAGGAGGCTTAAGGGGCACACACACAAAACTATGTCTGAACAAGAGTAAACGTGTCTTCCCAACACCACTGCTTTGGGATTTATAATTCAAATGAAAAGAATTTCCAACTTCAGCACTGTAAAATGAGCCCAGGAGTTGAGACCAGTCTGACCCTAGGCTATTTGACCTTGGCTTTCTCTCTTGTGTTTTTTTTTTTGTGTGTGTGTGTGTGTATGCATGTGTATGGTGAGTGCTGAGCTGTCACCCTAGCTGTGTGCAGAGGAAGGGAAGGAGGGAGAGTGGCCAAGAAGAGCAGCATGGAGGTCTGGGATGAAGACAAGAGGAGACAGATTCATAGATCACAAAGGCCACTTCCCTAGCGCTGCCACCAGGGCCCTGGTTATATCTGAGGAAGGGGCTCACCTATAGCCACAGCATGATGACAATGAGCACATGTCCACACACACCAGTCCACCCATCCGGTAGCCAGTATATTTCTGGAAAGTTGGGGTGAGTAGGTGTGTGTCTCACGCACTGGTAGGGAGCCTGGATCCACAGGCAGTTCTTGAAGTCCTTGGCCAGGAAGCCAACTGAGGTTACAGCAACCAAAACAAAATTCAGTGCCCGATAGTCCTGGGGCCTAGCACAGGCCTCAAGAGGTCCACCTGTATGTAGAAAGGCCTGAAGGTAAGCGAGAGGCATATGTGTAGAGCACATGGCATGGTGCCCACCAGAGTGCTCACTCAGGCCCACCAACCAGGGGTCTATGTTCTGCTGAGTCCAGCAGAGTTGGTAACATGGATTCCTGATCAAAACCAGAGATCCAGTAGGTGGCAGTATGACTGGTGCCCCAAGGCCATGGGACTCTCAGTTCTGGCAGATAGCCAATACCATGAACTCTGGTTTTATGGTGCAGAAGCAATCTGTAGAGAAGTTTGCCAAAGATGGCATGTCTGGCCGGCAAGTCACTAGTCTTGATGTAAGAAGGCTTGAGGATATCCTAGTCCTGCTGGAGGCGGACTCATGTTTAAGACAGGTGGAAAAGGTCAGAGTCCAGGTGATGTAGGTAAAGGCAGCACCCATATGAAGCACCATGGGTTTAGCATATCAACAGCATATATGAGCTCATGTAAAATACAGCACTAATGTAAAAAAAAAAAAAAGCACAAAGGCCATGGGGAGGCAAAAGCACGTGATATTCTTGTAGCTGAGGGTAGTGAGGGTCCAAAGGGGCTATGGTGCAGAGAGACCAACATGAAGACAGACGGCCAAGCACATGTTGTCAGGCAGGCCAAGGTCCAACAGGGGGGATGAGGGAGACTTGTGCGGCATCAGTTGGTCTGGTTTACCTCAGAGGATTCTGTTGGCTGCCTTGCTGGACTTCGCCTGACCTCCTTTCCTTTCTCTCCAAGGGTTCCTTCACTCATAAGGTAATATTGCAGGGGATTGGGCCAAAGTTCCTCATTAATTATCTCAACAATTTTGTCAGACTCAATGGAGCTGTGGTTCGAAAACCACTCAAAGAAGCTACAACTGTTGTCTGGGTTCCCATGGCTTAGGGACTGGAGATCATGGCCTGGGAGCCATTGGATAGGCGTAGAATGAGACACCACCTGACCCGAAGGGTCACACCCGTATTCCTTGATGAGCACCTTATTTTGGAAATACGGGTTGCGCCCAAAGTAGAACTTGATCTTGTAGCCCAATCTGGCGAGGCCAAGTTCTTCCACTTCCAAGCTGGTCAAGTAGCTGAGTGCCTCTTTATCTTGGCTGCTGAGGAAGGATGACAGCTGCGGGTGGTTCTGAAAAGCTTGTCCCCAGAAGCCTGGGATATTCTGGATGAGGAGGTTTCTGCGTTCTAAGTGGTGCAGTCGCAACTGCCCAAACTTGCGTGAGAGCCGAAGGTAGGCCCTGTTCGCCTGAGCATTCATGGTCTCCAGTTTTAGCTGGACTGTCTCCAGGGTGTCCGTGCTGCCATCAGTGGCCTGGGGGCCTGACCCTGCATCCTCCTCCACCTTCTTTGCCTCCACCACTAAACTGGAGGCGCACTCCCCCAGGGCCCCGATCTTCATCTTCCCAACAGCTATGGCCTGGGGCCCTCTTCCCATCGCACTGGTGGTTTCTGGAACCTTCTTCCTAACAGGGCCACGCCTATTTCCAACCCGAGGGCCATTTTTCAGCCTGGCCACAGCTCCCACGGTTCCCACGAAGGCAGTGTCTCTTCCCAGGCGCTCCGAGAGAGATGGAGGCCTCCCTGCGCCGGCCTGCCCACGACCCTCTGCAACTCGGGCCCGCAGGGTGAGACCACAGTCCAGGGGGAGCCGGCAGGCCCCCTCCTCCCGGGGGTAGGGGAACTGCACGGGCGCAGCGGTTTCCAGGCCACCCCACCCCGCGCCTGCCTGCACCTGTGCCGCCTCAGTTTCCTCCGTTTCCTCCCGGAGCCTCGGGCACTGTGGCTGGTCCGGATCGTGAGGGGCGTCATCAGGAGCAGCACGGACTCGGGCTTTAGCGCGGGCTTTGGCCCGACTTTTGGTGCGGGTCGACTTTCGATTCCGACTTCGGCCGCTCATGTTGGTGGAGAAGCGTCTTCAAAGCCACGCTCAGATCCTGCGGCCCCTCGCGCCCGCTAGCGTTCCGTTTGGTTCGGACTTCTCCATGGTAACCGCTGACGTCAGAACTGTATGGCTGTACCTTCGCGCGAGGACTAACTGAGCCGAGTGATTGGCTCCGCCGCCATTGCGACTGCGCAAGAGCCCACCTGTAACCATCTTTGTGTTCCCCACCCCACCCCCCAATTTCTCCCTAACTAGTATACAAGAAAGTTACTCTCACTTTGATTCGGACTGTACTTCCCTTTTTTTCTTCCCACTAATCGTAGTTGTGCTCCCAGGGTCTCATAGTACTCTGCTTCTTCCAATATAAGCCAGACATCACATCCATCCACCGTCATCTATTTTCTAAACTAAACAGCTTCAGTTTCTCTGGTATCTTTTGTAACGGAAATGCCATTGGATTCTTGTCTCGCCCTTGAAAGCCTTTGTTGAGGGATTTGCCCTGATACCCTAATCCCAGAAAGCGTAAACATGGGTGTCATAATGCCAGCCTACGAAGCAATTTGATAAAACGGTGGGATGTTAACAATAAATATAAAAAATAATAGCTAGTATCATCATATACTAGACACTTTACTCAGTGCTTTCTATGAAAGCAGTATTCTTACCACTGCCATTGTCCAGATGAGAAAACAGGATCAGAAGCGCCAACGAACGCTCAAAGATTTCACAATAAGAGATGGACGCTCCATCCAAATCCAATTCTATTTGACTCCAGTAAAACAACAACAATCGCCATCAAGTCTGACCATTGGGTTTTCAATGGTTGACTTTTTCAAAAGTAGACCGCCAGGTCTTTCTTCCAAGGTACCTGTGGGTGGACTCAGGTTAGCAGCAGAGCATGTTAACCATCTGTACCACCCAGGGACTCTATCTGACCTGATAGCCTATATGTTCATATGTAGCAACAATCCTACTCAACTGCAAATGTATGGCTGGCTGTTATAAAAGCCAATCTTGCTTGTTAATAAACAGGCATCAGGGGATTACCTCTTCAGCCCTGGTGCATCATCAATCTTTGAACTGCATCAGACTTAGCTTGTAGAAATGCACTATCAAGAAATAAGATCAAAAGTGGAGAATGTAAGTCAGATCTTCTATAAGTGGAATAAGACACAAAGATCAGAGCAGCGTTTCCCAGTCTGAAGTTCAGAAGCAGCCTTCATGGTACCAGGGAGGAGGCCTCATGTTTTTGGAAGCAGCTTGGATGATGCTCTTAGTAACCAGATGACAGGATCACAAAATAAGGATACTCATGACCACCAAGGACACATGACCAAAAGCCTTTTGAGGTGGTTCATTCAGTTTGAAAGGGAACAAGAAGGCACTTACAACCAGCTGATGGGGAGGTAATACCAAAAGTTTCTGGGAGCTATCACCAAAAAACAAAACAAAAAAACAGTTGTTATAGAATTGATTCCATCTCATGAAAGCTCCATCTGTGCCAGAGCATTATTCTGCTCCGGAGGGTTATCAGTAGGTGTTTTATAAAAGTAGACCACCAGCCCTTCTAGACTGTCAGTCTAGAACTATAGAGTCTCACTAAACCTGGCATCACCTGGAAGCTTGTTAAAAATACAGAATCTCAGATTTGAATTTTAACAAGATTCCCAGGTGACTTGTATGTACTTTAAAGTTTAAGGAAGGAGATAGGGAAAAGGAAAAATTAGTTTTATATAGGTTGTTGCTGGAGCTCTGGTAGCGTAGTGGTTACGAATCGGGCTGTGAACCGCAAGGTCAGCAGTTCGAAACTACCAGCGGTTCCGCGGGAGAAAGATGAGGCATTCTGCTCTCGTAAAGATTTACAGCCTCGGAAACCCTGTGCAGGGTCGCTATGAGTCGGAACGACTCCACAGCACTTAACAACAATAGGTTGTTGCTGCAAAGTGTTATTGAGTCAATTCCAACTCATAGCAACCTTGTAGAGGGTTTCCAAGAAGTGGCTGGTGAGTTTCAACCACCGACATTGCGACCTTGCGGTCCAGTGCTTATCCTAGAATGCCACACCAGGAATCCTTGTTGTTACGTGCTGTAGAGTCAGTTTTGACTCATAGTGACCTTGTATAGCGTTTCCGAGGAGCAGCTTGTGGTAAGTAGACCCTACCTTAAGCCAGACCCACACCAGTGATCTAACATTTTCAAAGGCTCTACATGCTCTGGTAAATTCCTTTCTCCACCATCCAGGTTACCTCTCTGATCTTATGTCCAACTCTCACTCCTCTCTAAACACAATGGCTTCCTTACCTTTTTTTCAAATTTCCCAGGTAAGCTCCTACTTTAGGGCCTTTGTACTAGTTCTTCCTCCAGCCTGAAATGCTCTTCCCCCCAAGGTATGGTCATTTTGGCTGGCACTCTTCACACTTTGCTTAAATGTTACCTTCAAGATGACCTCTTATTTAAAATTGCCACCCACCCACATCCTTTTTTTCTTTATTCCACAACACTGATCATCTTCTTGTGCAATATATGCATCACACTTATCTAGTATATTTGTTGCTCTTGCCTTTCTAGAATATCCGCTCCATGAGGACAGTCTCTTTGCTTAGTTCACTCTTGTGTCCCCAGGGCCTACAACAGTGTCCTAATTACTCAGTAAATCAGTGTTGATGAATGAACCAATCAGAGTCTAGTTTTCAAAGTGAGTTTATAAATTGCTTCTCAGAAATTAAGAAATCCTCTTTCTTCCCCCATAGAAGCACTGTTAGAGTAGATGGAGGTTATGTTCTCAAATCCACTCTTGGAAACTTATTGAACTCATAATTTAACCAAACAAAAATCTTTTATTATGGGGTACCAGAAAATATAGAGCAACAAATGTTAGCAAGTAAGGTAGAGCAAGTTAATATTTGACTTAAGTAGGATTTACCCAAGCATTATCTTAAATTCTTGTTGAAGTCTCTTTTATAGTCATTTCTTCCAAAGGCCTTCATGAGTACCCCATACCACAATAAGCAGCCCTGTCCTTGAACTAATGGAACACCAGTTAACTGTCCTATTCATTCACAATTAGGCAATACATGCTTTATGCCAGTTTTTGTACAGAATTACCTCTATGAGTGGATAATTTATTAAGTCTAGAACTCTCTGTATATCTCACAAAAGTCATCCTCAATAAACTGCAGACATTGACAAACTGTACCAGTTCACTGAGCACTGACAGTTAAACCAATCTTTGTTGTCAACAGCCTTAATTCCCCATCAGCATCTGCATCACTTAGCACTCACCCATGGCTAAAACTGCAGGATTAACATAGGCTGGGCCACTACCAATGGGGCTTAATATACAGTCTGCCATGAACAGATTATGGCGAAGAGATAAGCACCTGCTGACAGGTAACAAATGTGAGACTGGCACCTTGTAGAAAGATGCTCTTCTGGCCCAGGTCACTCAGCCCTACTGTTTCTACATTTAAGAGGCTGATCTGTGCTGCTGGACTCAACAATTGGTTGTCTGCTCAGGAATTAATGTTCGGTTTGGTATGGGACTCTAACTTGAGTTCCCAATTAGACAGTAAACTCTGTAAGCTCTTTCTGCTTTTCATCCTAAAGAACATCTGTCATGGGGCCTTGTACATTCTAGTATTTCTCATAATAAAAAGCTCACATGTATTTTGTTCTTTATATGGTGTCATATCTTAACTCCCTTAATTCCCACGATTACCCCACAGGGCAATTGTGATTATTACATGCATTTTAGGTTGTTGTTGTTGTTAAGGTCCATCAAGTTGATTCTGATCCATATTGACCCTACATACAACAGAATGTAAGACTGCCTGATCCTGCACCATCCTCTCAAACTTTCCTTGGTTGTTGTTGTTAAGTGCCATCGAGTTAGTTCCAATTCATAGCGACCCTGTATAGGGTTTCCAAGGAGTAGCTGATGAGCTTGAACCACCGACCTTGTGGTTCAAACCAACCTTGCAGTCCAGTGCATTAACCCTCAGCGCCACACCAGGACTCCACTATGAGCCCATTATTGCAGCCACTGCGTCATTCCCTCTTGTTAAGAGTCTTCCTCTGTTTTGCTGGCCTGCTCTACTTTACCAAGCATGATGTCCTTCTCCAGGGACTGGTCCCTCCTGATAAAGTATCCCAAGTGTTTGAAACGAAGTCTCATCATCATCACTTCCAAGAAGCATTCTGACTATACTTCTTCCAAGACAGATTTGTTCACTCTTTTGCTAGTCTATGGTATGTAAATATTTTTTGTCAATATCATAATTTTAAAGTATCAGTTCTTCAGTCTTAGTCACTGGCCAGCTTTCACATACATATGAGGCAACTGAAAATTCTATGGTTTTGGCCAGGTACACCTTAGTCCTCAAGGTGACATCTTTAATTTGCCCAATATAATGCATCATTTGATTTCTTTTTCTGACTGCTACTAGTGCTGTTGTGATGCTGTAGGATAAGCACTGGACTACTTACTGGAAGGTCAGCAGTTCAAACCCACCAGTCATTCTTTGGAAACCCTACACAGGGTTTGAGTTGGGACCAACTCAACAGTGCATAACAACAATTTCCATGGGTGTTCTTTGTGGATCCAAGTAAAATAAAAGTCTTGACAACTTCAGTCTTTTATCCATTTATCATGTCACTTGTTGGCCTAGTTTTGAGGCTTTCTATTTTATCTTAAGATGCAATCCATACTGAAAGCTATAGTCTTTGATCTTCATCAATCAGTGCTAACTTCACTTTCAGCAGGCAAGGTTGTGTCATCTGCATATCACAGGTTGTTAATGACTTTTCCTTCAATTCTGGCGCTGAGTTCTTCATATAGTCCGGTTTCTGGGATTATTTTTTCTGCATTCAGATTGAACACAATCCTGATACAACTCTGTGGATTTTGAACTAGGCACTATCCCTTGTTCTATATTGAACAACTACCTCTTGGTGTGTGTACAGGTTCTACATGTGCCCAAGCACAAGTGTTCTGGGGTACCCATTCTTCACAAAGCTATCTCATTCTTGTGATTGTTGTGGTTGTTGTTGT